GGCTGAAGGACCCTGGTTTGGTCCGCTTGCACCCATCGCCATATTGGGAGAAGTCAACCCAGCCTGTGCCATCGGGCTTTTCACCATGCTGTTTAACATTCCCATTCCAGGACTATTTTGTTGGGTTTGACTGGCCATGCCCTGGCCAGGGCCGCCAACCCCCATATTGAGATTTGGGGAGCTACCAGCCCGTAAAAGTTCAGAGAGCTGCTTATGTTTAGAGGCAGCATCTTGTGCCAGGCCAAGGCTGGTCTGCAGCTGATTAATGTCACCACCATTGGTGAGTCCCAGTTCTGTGGAGCTGATCAGTTCATCTGGCAAGTCATGTTCCAGATCAAAGAGCGATCCAAAATCTGAAAAACAAAACAAATTTTATATGAGGTCAGAGCAATGCATAGCATCTCAAAGAAAAGTCTTGTTCATTAGTTTTTATTTTCTTTTATTTCAAGTAACTAGCAAAACTTGACTATGTTCCAGCAAAATTCCCATATCAGTCATTACCGAAAACTATCCAATTTGTCATGATAGAAGTAATCTCTCAACTTCACAGAGTCTAAACTACAGAAGACCATTCCACTTCACTCTCCTACAACAGTTTGTGTTGGAAGATCACTGTACCTCAGACTATGATCTCTCAGCTCCAGAAATTTGACAAGGAAGGAAAGAAAAAAAATGTTTTAAAAAATCCCACAGAGTTAGCCAATGGAATTAGACAACGATTATTATAAAGAATTAAAAGGTCGATGGGAAAGCGCTATCTTTAATTTTTAACTTTCACTGAACTCTGTCACTGCAAAATTTCACTGAACTTGACTAGACAGCCAGTATCTTCCCACAATGAACACTGTCAGAAAACAACCCAAGTAACCCTCCTGGTCACAACGCTGTGAAAAAACACTAGGATGAAAAATCAAATTCACATCTCAAGAGCCCAGGCAAAGTAATCCCCAGGTAACCAAGTGGAGAAAGATTACTATTTGGGATATATAGACAGAAGAATATTACACAGCACCCAGAATCAATTTGCTTGAGAAAACAAGAAGTTCTTATGTGTGCAGAAGCAGCACACACCTTAACCTGTATATTTAATCTATGGTAGTTAGAACAAAAATAACCTAGAAAGTTTATGGCTAAAAGCTGAGCCACTGTGTGCCATAGCTACGCACTAGGCTGTAAAGCCTAATACTTCGATTCTGAGAATACCCAGTAAAGGAGGGTTTCTTTCATCTTAACTATTGGAACATTTCAGCACCACTTCTGCCAGAATGGTCATTTCACGGATGCTCTGTAGGAGGTATTGCATTTTCCAAAACTTTAGATCTAGACAATGACCTAAAATACTACTCATTATCTCAGCAACTGCATTTAAAAGGAAACATCAATTACACTGATTTCTAGAGTGGCTGGCAAAATGACTTCGCCCATATATTAATGGGAAAAGACTACAGCCAAACAACGTATAAGTCAGAAAAGCTCATCAGCATTAGAAATCTGTTCAAAACATTTCACACAATACCGTACCCAAACTGCCAAACTCCAGTACTAACTCAGTTTCTACCACTTTGTAACCATTATCACAGATAAGATCACGACTTAAGAATTCTGAAAATATGGTACGAGCTTGGCAAGAATGCAGGTATACCACAACAGAGGAGATTTTATAATTCTATTTATATATTGTTCATTACTGCAACGCACCAGACAGAATGAAAGTTTCCATTAAAGAACTATGTTTTAAGCTATTAAAATCAGCCCATTCTTCATTAACGTAAATCCCATGCTAAAAGTTACACTTTGCAACACATACTAAGGACTGATCTTTCATTTGCATCACTGGTATCCTTCAGCACGACCGATATTTCTGAAGATTCAGAAGTGAAGGAAGAATAAGAAGAATAAAGCTTTGTCCAAGTTCTCCTCCATTTTAAATGATGAATTTAGAGTTTTAGATCAGTAGACTTATCTCAAAGCCTCCCCCCCAAAAAAAACCCAACAAACCCCCACAAAATCCAAACTTACAATGCTCAATGGTTAGCTTAAAAATTAAATATTGGTGAACATGGGAAGAGTTACAGCAAGAGAGACCCTCAAATTAGAGGGCAGATCAAGGAAATGGAAAAAGGAATCAAAAAGTACACGACAGCTTAAAATAGCTTCAACAGGCATCTTAAGGTGCCTCTAAGGATGCTTCCAACAGGCAAATTTTGAAGCACTACAACCAGAAAACACTCTGGCTAGTAACCTGATAAACAGCCCTTGAGTGAGGAAGGAATAAAAAAAAAAATACGACCAGTAACTCACAAGTTACTCTGCTGTGCAGAAGAAAAATTCTCCTTAACAATGAGGAAACAAAAGTGAAAATGAAAGTGTCTGGGAAGACCATGAGCCAGCACAAACCCTGTACCTACAACATAACCACAATGGCAGCACACAGCAACCTCCCATCTGCAAACTGGGAAACAGCAGTTGAGGCAAAGATGCCCACACAGCTCAAAGGCCAGTTTTGTGACTGGTGGTAGCTGGGGAAAGAACTGCTCGTGAACAGATACAGCTTCCAGGACAGTGCGAGTCCCAAAACAAAAATCCCTGCTTCTCCTTTCTCGAGATCAGACTATTGTATATTAAACCCTTCGCAAAACCACCTGGAAAGCGATCAGTAAATGTCTAAATATGAAGAACTAATTCATTTTTCAAACCACTCTTTCTCAGGAAGACCCATTTAATGATTTCAGATATAACACTGCAAAGGAGCAGTACAATTCTTGTTTTGAGACAAAGATTTGCTCAACTTTCTTCACAAGAAAATATTAATCTGCTTCTCTGAAGACCTCTTTCTTTTTGAAATTCCTGCTCCTTATGAGAAGACAATTCCAGCTTTAAGGTTTACTCACTTATATCTGACTGGAGTATCCAGGTAGAAGTTACCTGAGCTCCCTGGCCTGGTCATTCCATGCCACCCATGAACAGGAAGAAAAACATCACAAAATGTCAAACTGGTTTTAATTCTTCTTATTAATGTCTCAAAACACAACAAATCAACAGACATAAAAAAAAAAACCCAAACCTAAATGGTTGTGAGATAATCCCAATCAGATTAGTTCTTTACATCAAAAAATGTAAAGTGTTCTTTCCATATAAGACTAACTTGTTAGGATTTTTAATCCTAGCGAATACACAACAGAAGATTTATCATGAAAGAATACTATCAGCTACAAGCCAAAATCGTAAGTAGAAAATACCAACAATGCAATATTCTGCTGCAGCTTTGCTCTTTTTATAAGTCTTTTCCAAAAACAAAACTTCAAAGTCTTCCTGAGCCAGCAGATAAATAACACCACTAGAAAAAACTTTCAATTGTCCGGTCAACTACGAAAATTACATTTTTAATCAACTGCCAGGAGGCAGTTGTTTTCAGATACAGGACTGAAACACAAAGTCTCAAAAGACCATAAAGATCAATAAGACTTTGTGTACCTCTAGCAACAGTTGCAATCCATTTCACAGTCTTCTACATATAATATGTATCCTAAAGCTCCCCATAGAGAGTTCTGCCTAGGACCAATCCAAAAATTGACAAGGCTGAGCCAGACGCCGTATAGACTACTTGAAAATTAACAGCACATACACTTACACAAGAGCCAAAGGCACAGCTTAAGACAATGGTGATAAATAGCCAGAGAACTGACTGACTTTCCAGTACACCAAGTCCACTGTTAGCCTCGCCATCTGCTTCCTCAAGGATACACATGAAGCTTTCTTACTAACAAAATAAAACTTGTGGGAAGGCGAAGGAGGCAGATTAGTCCTGCAAAGGTTTGTCCACCTGATTCATAATCCCTAGAGATCTTAGGGTATAATCAGACACAGAAAAACTGGGATGTAACAGAACAGACAATATCTGGCCTAAGAGCTCAAAAACATCCAGTAATATGCAGGTTATAAGTAGTAGAGCTAAATCTTGATCTCAATAGAGTGGCACAGAGTGATTCCACATTATGTTATTTATGGTATTATTACTGTATTTCTTCCCATAGGTAACAAGAAGATACAGTAGATTGTGACTGCCACCTGAGATCCAACGGAAAGAGAAGGAAAGTACCTGCACAAAACAACATCTAAGCAGGTAATCATAAAGTCTTAACCTGAGGTACTCTCAACATGCAAAGGCATCTAATAATTCCTTTTAGGGACTGTCACATTACCGAACACTTAAGCAAATCTTTTTTTTGTAGAGTCAAGAAACTGGCCTGACTTGCCCTGGCTACATTAGATCTGTAGTGAGAAAGCGGGTCAGGAAAGACAGCAGATGGAGCAGGTCCATTTCTTTCAACGGCAGTCCAGTTAGACTGGATTAAGTAATATGAACCTAAACTGTGGGCAAGCAACTTCAAAAAATCAGTGTGCTAGCTTGTGTTGCATAATATGGATTAGTTTTGGACCCTACTTCTAAGAAGTCTGCCTTTGACCGTGTCTGATCTGCAAGATGCGAGGCAACTGCTGGCCTGGCTTGGAAACCCACCTGGCACCAAAACGGACTTTAAACTCGTACAGATTCAGAGTGTGTAATCAAAATCCTTAAGTCAGTAAGACATCAGTGCCTTATCAAGTGATCAATTTTCAAATGAGTTAAAGTATTCATTTCAAGCTAGTTTTACTGCAAGAGCACCCAGCAGCACCAGTGATCTAACAGCTCTCAAAACATATAAGGCAAGGTAAAGATTTCTGACAATGCTTACAACATGGGGAAAACATTTCCGTACTAACTAGTCAGCAAAGACATCAACACCTGGGTTCAAGTGGTACATGCTCGTTTCTTTTGTGTGCTTTCTAACCTACAGGTGTGATTTAGTGTCATTTTCTCATTTCTGGATTGAGAGAGCAGACCTCTGTTCACCTTTCAGAATAAAACAGGCATTTCTATCAATATGGAGACTATCTGGTTCCAGCAAATAGGCTGCAGTGAACAAGACTAGTTTTATAAGAACTTGCCCACATACTACAAAACAGCAAGAACGCTTTACTCTCATGACTACTGTACCCTCAGACTCAAGATATTCATTCAAGCTCAGAGAAGAGTTGGTGTATCTGGAGAAAGAGCATCATGTGTGAACAGTGACACCTGAAGAACCCTGTATGCCAGACACGTAAGACAACAACTTACCCCAGTGCTTACCTCACTGCTGATCTTACAGAGCTAAGAGACTTTACAGTTCCTGTACCTGCATCCCGTTTATTATATTATATTCTGAACACAGACATACCAAATTAGAAAGCTGCTGAACAGTCACCTTTTTGCACAAATGTTTCTGGGCTCCAGAAACCTATCAGTGGATCAAATTATATCACAGTCGTT